CGAACTAAGTCCAACAGGCTCGCTGAAGGTCCATCTGTCGTATTTTTGGTTCTCCCACGTACTTCAGAATCAAATTCATCACTGTCGGAGTCAGGGACAACAGCAGGAGCCATGTCATCTCCATCCATACTACTTGTGGCTTCAGCATCGCTATCAAGCAGTAGTTCGTCAAAGCTTTGGTTGATTTCGTCGATATCGATATTCAGAGCGCTCATGGTGACAGGACTGCTTAGGCAGCGTTCAGACTTCGCGACCGAAGCGCCGTCGTCGCGAAGTCTGAACACTGCCTTATAGAGCTGATAATGATCGCGGAGATCCTACTTTTATAGCGTGGTCTTGAATTTATCTCGAGTTGTTTGAAAAAATTCGAATACTCTAGAGGTTGAAGAAAATTTCGTGGTTTTTTGCATTTTCTGATTAATGTCTAGGCACATCACTGATTTATTTGGAAATTACTACTTTTCAGTCAAGAAAAACGTGCCGTCCCACGCGCAAGTCATAAATAAAATGGCTCGTCGTACGTGTTAAGGCTATGGTTAGGGTGGGTTGGCAATTTTGGGTTTGCCGGGATATTTGGGTAAGTGGTTTTTGGGGGAGGAGTCCGTGCGGGTTGTATTTCTGTAGGTACATATCCAGCTGAAAACAAGCTAAATAATTTCAGGCCTGACGAAGGTGCTACGCACCGAAATATTGCAAGATAAGATGTTTTAAAAACTTTTGAGTTTTTTGAAATAAATTTTCAGAGTTTTACATTGTTATTACACATCCAAATAATTTCAGCGTTCAGAAGCTGAATACTACAGAAATACAGCAAAAATACCGCAAAAACAGCTGACCGGAAGCGTCAGCAATTATCGATCAGCGAGAGTCCGTGTGTTCAAGCGCAGAGTCAATGTCAGAGAGCGCAGGGGCAATGATGAGAACCAGTCCAGGGCCGTATGCTATGCTTCCCCTTGAAGGGAAGATTTCCCCCGAGGGCACGTCGTGGGGGAGGGGAGGGGGGAGGGGCGGGAAATTGTACTTGGTCACCGGTGGGAGGGGGGGTCGTATTTACGTTTTGACGTTGTAGAAGTGGTGGTTGACTTTTGGTGATTTTCCTGCGACTTGCGACTACAGGGGGAAGGCAAAAAAAGGACTTTTTTCTTCCTCGACTTTCGAGGCGCTATAAGTTACACTTTATTAAATTTTATCGGACATTTCCACCATATTAAAGAGCATATTAAATACTATCATGATACTCCCACAGCCTTCTGGAGGAGCGCCATCGAGAGATTCTGCCACGCGACCGTCAGTGGGTGCGTGAGTTCAGCGAGATCGTTGATTTCTCCGCCACTGTAGACCACCCTATTGAACTCCGCCCGAACCAGGTAATTGAGGGGGTTTAGGTCAGGTGACCTGCTTAGATATTCCACCTTCTTGGTACTCAACGCCCTTCCATTCCAAGTAGGCAAGAGTTTTCCCAACGCCCTTTGATTCCATGTGGTGTCACCCAATCCTGTAGCAGTACAAAGTTTCCAAGAAGGTACGGGCGACGACATGTGGAGAGGATATTCTTCTCGAGTTGCTCGATGTAACCGCCAGCGCTCACCTTTAGTCCGGGGCCCACGAAGAAAATATCGGTCTCTCCATTCCAGGTACGTCCGGTCCCCACCATCAACTGGCGCCTTGGCGACTGAGGTGAAGATGATGTCCTAGACCGTAGCGACGTTGACGGAGCTGCTCGATGATGGAGGTCTTCCAGATCGAGAGTACTGGTCTCCAGGTAGCTATCCATGGGTGACTCCATACTAGAAGTTTCGCAGCTGTTTGGAGGTGACATGAAGGTCTTCTCCAGTCAGGCTGCGACTGGAGATGACTTCATATTTTGGTGTACATGAAGGTGATGGGCGAGAGCCAGCTCCTGCTTATAGAGGAACATCTTGGGTATCTTCCGCCCTGGTACTCGTATCCACGTCCTCTGTCTGGGCTGCGAAAACTTTGCTGATATGTGACTCGGTCGAAATGTCTTTTTTTTGGCCCCCTGCATATGCCCCCCCCGCTCGACAGCAAAATTTTCAGGGAAAGTAGGGAACTTTTCGGGAAATTTTGGAAAAAAGTGGCAGGAAGTTAAGGAAAATCTGAACTGGAATAAGGGCGGAGGGGTCGTACAGACTGGGCTAAAATCCTCAACCAATGATGTGCCCTGTTTCCCCCAGCGAATCTCCGCTCTCTGCTTCCATTTCGCTGCATCTGTGTCTCCCCCATTCTCGCGGAATCTCCCCCAACGATATTCGCTGGGGGAGAGGGGAGCATATCGATTATACTCTGCGCTGCACTATATTCGCACAGAGCATGCGCCAAAAGAGTATGGATGCAGAGCGGTGAGAGCCAGAGAGACGAGGGGCATCAGTAGAGATAATGGGCGGGATTGGAGGACAGGAGATACCTCCCTTCGAGGGAGGTGGGGGAGAGCCTACGGCCCCAGGCCTTCGCCCTCCAACGACATGCACCGTCGCACCACTCGCCGGCGCGGTCGTGGGAGCGCCTCAAGGTCGGATGGCAACACTGTACATTTACGCTTACCATAATGACAGATCCCATTCTTTTTCTTTCATCGATCATAGTAATCACACGTTCCAAGGCAAATATACAAGCCTGTAAGCAAGTATAGACAATATCATGATGAACGACATATCTTTCGGTTGTCTCACAATTCTTGATCACATTTCGAAACTTTGGCTCAAAGATGAACTGTACACTCACGAGACCGGTGCTTGCCATAGGCGAGGCGACTATGTCCACAGCTGCAGTACGTGCTACTTTCTCCGCTCAAAAGTATGGAAGCGAGGCTGGAGGGTATGGAACCTGAGTGCCGCATCCATACTCCTCCCGCGGCACCTCAAAGGTACTGAACTTGCCTCGCTACCAAGGTCCACTATCGAAACAACAACGCAGAAGACACGCACAACAACTGGTAGAGAACAATAAGAAATGAGAGGGCGCATACATGTAGCGCGTTTGGCTGTGGTTAGGTGGCTGGTCGTGGGACCGTGCGGGCGGAGTATCCGGACAGCACTTTGGTATTACTATCGTCCAGCCCAGTTCTCTCGCACAATTGAGTGGAAGAAGTTGCACGCCATCGCTGATTCGGACCCATTTTCCTCGCACACGGCAAGGCAGGATTCACGTAAATGAGGGTACAGTTTGCCTCTGGTATCGACACAAGTGCGGCATCATGTAGAAAGCCCTTGCGGAGCGCCAAATGGCACTTCAGTATCGTTATCATCGAGCCTCACTTCCGCGCACTCTCAAAAGAGAAAAAGGTTACCTTTGTATAGATGCTAACAAGTTTTTGTCGCTTAATCGAGGACTGTCTTGGATGGTGACGGTACAGTTTTCTCTGACTAATGTGCTCTTTGCTTGTCTTGACCTAAGCTTCATCCATTTCCGGCATAATGATCCGTCGAAATGCTTTATAATGCATTTTTCGCAAAGTTCTGACTTTGCTTGCATTGTACATAACAACTATATTATGGGGAACGAAGGAGGTAATCGTTTCAAGTTGCCCATTTTTTCAGAATGTTTCACTCCTGTATTTTATTTTCGTTTTGCATTAGTATGTCTATAAAGCTGCGGAATAAAAATTGAACAACCCACAAAATCGCGTTTTAAACAGTTCTGAAGCTATTATTCAACAGCAGTAGAGTGGAAAGGTGAGCAAATAGCGGAATTCCAACAAGAGGAACTATTTCAGCGCTCTATTTGATTTGCTCACTAATAGGCTCGATTGGAGCCTTCACCACCCGCGGAATCAACTCCACAGGAGCCTTAGAGTATTCACGATATACGCCTTCGAATCCTCAACGTGCATGGAAATCCTCGCTCGTGTTGCTGTTCTTCTATCATTCAGGTCATGCTTCAAGTCATCTTGAAGATGCTTGTTGAGGTTGCGGTGAAGGCCTCATTTTATGATCCTACTCAACGGATTAACAGCTTCTGGAATAATTCGCCAATCACTACTATGAATTCGAGCTTTCCTCAGTCGTTTAGAGGCAAAGTGTGGTTTTGTTATGATGGCGGTTCTGAGAATAGAAACTAAAGTATTGTACTTTGAAAGGCTGAGTGGAAAGGGGATTTGGTGAGCTTTTGCTTCTAGCTGTGTCTTAAGTCACGTCATATTAGAAAAGTATTTTGTATTATGGTTTAAAACTGCTTTGTAATATGATCTGAAATCTGTTTGTGGTTCTTGTTCATATGTTTCCCTTTATATTTCTTACCCAGTTGCACCCCATTGCAAACCGTTGCTTGCGGCTGTTGGAGCTGGGTCTCAGTAAAGTTGGCGGACCTACTAAGCTGGTATCCGGAGTCCTATTTGATGCGTGGATGGACTTGCAGTGTTGGCGGCCACTGCCCTTCTGCCCTGATTACCCACCGCAGCTCTCTGTCCAGTCTTCCAACTGGGTTCTATTGATTCTGTTGAGTCCTGTTGATTATCGGAGATTTTTTCCGTGTTCCCTTTTTTTGATGTTTGCTACTGTCAATAGAATGCCAATGATCGATCACTAAATCACTGAATCCTGATGTTGACTTGGGTACCGCACAAATTTTTATATTTGTTTACAATATCCATTTCAATAGGCAGAAGATGGTGTAGTGACAAGTGGCACGCTTATCACTAATGCGGTCCTGGGTTCAAATCCCGGGTCGACTCCCGCCCAGGCCAAGCCTTCTACCCTCCGGGGACGGTAAATTGGTACCAGATTCGTCTGGGAGGATAAAACACTGACTTGTACATCGGGGCCACCGCAAGTCATTGTATAGGCCACATCGCATTCAATAAGCCACTACGATTCTGAATGGAAGTAGAATGCGTGCCGCATCCCACAAAGGGATTGATCAACGGCGAAGACTTTATCCTTTATCCTTATTATCTATTTCGATACTTTCAAGTCGAGTCGTTGTAGTAACGAAGGATTTGTACAAGAGATAGTCTATGGCTACAGTTGGCGCTTTAAAGTGATCTAGAGAAGCAGACTATCAGGTGTTTGAGGGTGTAGTGCGATAGGAATGAGAATATCACCAAGAATTATGAGCCATGATCTCAATGAATACGATCCAAGAAAACATATGGATGAAAGGCAAAAAACACATACGTCCCTCCCATCTAAGTAGCAACGATTGAGAACAGTGAGAAAATTGATCCAAACAGCTTTATCCAGCAACAGCTGATCCTTAACCACGGCACCTCTGAAAAATATGCAATAGTGAAGTTATCCCGCAAGCTTCTTGCAAAGCGTTTCTCAAGGCTGCAATGAACAAGCATACACAATTATGGAAAAAGCTTAAATCTTAGGATGTCCCCAAAGGCTCTCAATTTGAGTGGAATATTTAGTTCCTTCCTTGGAAATAGTCCTTCATTGCGAGCTGACATGAATGTCCTGGTGATATTCTTTATCTGCTACCAAAAGTCCACGCAGCTTCTCCGAATTCTTTGAGCTGTGAGTAAATCATTCCTTTAAAAGGTGTCGCCAGTCAGTCATTTTCATTATAAGTGCGGTATGAAATCCGAAAGGATGTTCGTTTTGCGCCTCGCGCTGGTTCACAAGATCATAGGACTGCAGCTGCGTTAGATAGCAGTCATATGGAGTACTTTCAAGTCTTCTTGCTCAAAGGGACGATCTAATTCAGACCAGGTTCGGAAACGTGGGGCGTATCATAGTAGTAGGCGGGGTTCAAAATCAGGTACCTTGAAATCAAGCACTCGATGAGATACAGCAAGGAGAACATGCGCAGCCTCAAAACATCGGACGGTCTCTTCTCATCATCTATCGCATCTTCCCGTCTCACTGTCTAAAATGTATCTCTCCAAATTGATTGTAAACTTTTCGCAAAATACAACTGAAAGCAAAGAAATAATATTTGTTAAAAAAATTAAAAAGTAGAGGTAGCAGAACCGACATCGGACAGAAAAGTCATCATCGTTTCGTCCGAGGCATCCGTTACTGCGTTTACAATCTCATTGCACTTCGGAAATGTCCAAGTTCCATACGGACAGCGATCCAATTTATAGAGCTTGTCCACCATCTATAAAAACACAAGAGTTGTATGCAGTATCGTCAAAAACCAGTCAAAGGGGATATAAAGGAAGAACCACGCATTCTTGAATAGCCCTCTCTATATCCTCTTCTGTGTGGATTCTTAACTCAGGTTGGACGTCACCAAAGTGATTGAGCTTCACATCCCCAGTGGCAACGATCAACCAGCTAATGTGGGGTTCTACGAAAGCTTGACAAGGTACCGGGTTACTCTATACTATCTACATATCATATACTACTTCGGCCGACGCAAGCTGAAGCGCGTACCACATTGGGAACCTTATGTGGACCTTATCACCGTCCACACGATATCTTCATCTTCAACCATGTACCCTCTTTGATCCGCATCCGCATCTTTTCAGTAGTTGATTTTTATAATCTTTACCGTTTCTGATCTTTACCGTTTCGGGCGTGCAATATACCCTTACAAACCTCTTTCCCGCTCGATATCACTGCATGCTTGCAAGAGCAGGCAATTTCAGTAATTGGTTTTGATTCTTTGATTCTGTGGTGACCAAAGAAAAGAGTTCACACGATGAGCCTCTAAGACTTGGCTACGTTGTCGTAGAAGTTGTATGAATTCTAATGAAGATGGCCTCTTGTCCATTTTTTATCAGACGGTATATTACCTGTCACAGCGTTGATGTGCCTATCACTCAATCATAAAAGCTCCAAAATCTTGGTAGGGTAAGACTTCTCCAGCCGTGAAAAACAACTACAAAGGCAATGTTCCTTGTCAGCTCCCAGCAACTATTATCTCTTTCAGTCACCCATCATCGATGTCCCCATCTCATCAGTATCAGTATCACTTGCTGGGAGAAACACGTAGGCGACACCGTGGCGTGCGCTATGAATACGGTGACCTCTCCAGTCCAATCCACTTATCAAATCTTATCGCTGCTAACAGTTCTTGCCACCGACCATTCACGTTTTCGGCCCATACCCTATACCATGTGATTTAAATGTGATATAATTGTTTTAGTTATTATCATTTAGGATTAGTATATATAATGTAATTATAGTGTAGTAAATATAAGTGGTGTAATTTTGAATTTTTTGGATTTATTGATTCCAAGGAATTAGCCTAGTTTCCATTTCGCACGTGCCCTTAGACGGAAACCAGACAACGTGGTATCCTCCCTCCGTGCTCATCAGTAATGAAGGGTAGGAACAACAGGCTCAAGTGCGAAGTCGTCGTGAGTGTCTTGGACTCAACACCTAGCTGACTCTGTGACCCGCTCCATGGACTTGATGAGCCTTCATTTCTGACGTCTTTTATCGGACATTAATAGCTGATATCTTTTATTGTCACCAACCAGTGATGTTCTCGTCACAAGATATATTTTCATTATACTGAACAAAATGGAACCACTGATCGGGAGGAACAGGCACTGCTGGGTGCGCATGGTTTACCTTAAAACCCCAAAATCAACACTTCTTCGAGGATGTCCAATCAGGCGGGCGATACGAGACGGTGGAGTGTGAGTAAGTCCTCGTCAACTCGCGCTTGGCTATGCAATTCGATTGCTTCGAGAACTGGCGACCAGACTCACCGACTTTTGCGAAGGACAAAATGAGGGCTCAACTTCAGCTCCGATAATCTTCACGCGTCGACACCGAGCTACGATGAGGACGAGCCCTAAAACTTGACATGGAATCAGAGAATTAATCTCATGTCGACGTCGTCACCATCAAAGTACGAGCTTGGAAATAAATGGAGAGGCGATTAGGAACGACCCAAAGGAGAGGAGCAGTATTACTCAAAGCAGCAAAAGCATCCACAACGTCACCCGAAACTTTGTCAATTGTTAGACCAAAATTACCAACCTCCAACATCAGGACAGAACAATCATAGGACCCAGAAAGGTTATGGAGAAACTCTGCTCGACCTGTACTTGTTACTGTACGCCCATCGTCTGTGGTACATCTGGAGCAGAATGAATACGTCTTTCCTTCAGTTCTCTCCTGAAAGTCCGACATGCCATCATCTTCGGTGAAGCTTCGTACCTCACACACCAGCAAAAGATTAGGTCCGAACATCTGAATAATCTACCGCCAGATGCCATCGAAATTCTGACTCGGTTCCTCGTGCAATACCTTTAAGACTTCCTTAGATCCTTGTAGGAACACTCCGTGACAGATGGATGGGCAGGGACTGACGCCGGTGGTGCCTTCCCTTTGCTGCGTTTCTCCTTCTAAAAAGTATAAAGACGTATCGAATAAAGAGGGCGGAATAGTTACGAATATCCACGACCGTTGACGAACCAAGACTATGCCTTTCCACTTTTACTTTTATGGCAGGATAAGTCT